TTGGGAGCATGCTCTGCACACAGAGGTTAAGTGCAGTATACACACTGTCCCTATGGCCATGCAGCTCAACCCTTCATTTTTTTTAATTCCAGAAATATTTAAATAGAAAGAGTTATATGAGACATGAAGGCAGGTACATACCCAGGCCAGGGTAGGCTCCCCAGAGGAAGTGACTTCGGAGCTGACAGCTGGGGCAGGGGTGGGGAGGGGGTTAGCTAGGTGGACAGGTAGGGGAAAAGAGCTTTCTAAGCTAAAGAAATAGCAGGAGCAGAGACCCCCCAAGTGGGAGAGGCAACTGAAACTGTGTGGCTAGAGGATCTGAGGACAATCGTCCCCCATCTAGGTGAAAAAACATATGCTGTGTGAGAACTTCCCCAAGGAAGCTTTTTACCCAGAAAGGGGGCTTTCTGCTGGGGTTAGTAATCAGGTAGCAGAGTGGTGTGTCTCAGGGTTGTGATCAGGGTTGGCTGGCCTCCTCTGGGTGCGGGTGGGGGTGGGGGGAAGCTAGGCAGCCGGGGGGACCCAGTTCTGACAGCAATCTTGGCCTTTTTGCATCTCAGCACTGCCTGATTTCCAACTTAGTGCCAAGAACCAAGTTTGTGATTCATGAAATCTCTTTTTTTAAGTGAAAAACAAAAATGTGTCCTCAAGATAGAACATTTCATCAGCAATCCCAGGAAAGTAGAAGTAAATACAGTAAAGTAAAACCGAAATCCTTTAACAAGTTCTGCTTCGTGCTAAATGACCTGTTTCTGACAGATAGCCATTACTTAAAGGAAACTTCTGGCCCATCCACTTTGCTTTAAATGCTTTCTGAGCAGGTCCCTAGGCCTCTCTTCTGCTACTTCTGTTTTAGAACACAAACTGTCTTCTCTAAAAACATATGCTTACAATTTGCAATTTTGTGTCCGGCAGACTCTGGAGTATGGTTAGAAACTGAAATCACTTGCCCGCGAAGATGCATAATATAATTGTATCTGGTGACCCCCCATTTAATAACATGGATTGATATGTCACTGTTCCTTTCACTGCTGCTTTTTTTTTTTTCTATTTTATTTCTTTTTAAATAATGGGCACACTTTTGCCCTTGGAATCCTGTCTCATCACATTCTCTGAGTTCCTAACGCACAGTTGGCACTCAGGAAAGAAATGTGACGCAAAGAAATGGTGATATCCAGCATCTTCTCTTGGGCTGGTTCTGTGACTGAATTCTCACCTGCAAGGTTAGTGTCCCTCCTAGACCACCCAGTAGGAATCAGCTTCTCCACGAGCCCCTGAGATCCTCCTGAGAAGGAGCTGGATCTTCCTTTCCTATTAATCCTTGGCTCCTGGCTCACAATAGATGCTCGATAAATGTTTATTAAATGACTAGCATCCAAGTCCCACTCATGCTGTTGTACCAAAAAGTCCATTCCTGGAAAAACAACATTTCTAGTGATAATTATTCCAAAGGCATGGGGATTGGTACTAGTCCTGGAAGCAGGGCAGCCCTCAGCAACGTTCTTTAGTCAGTAGAGTGGATCCTGGTCCTCACTGCTCACCACATCCACTCCCCAGCGTCCCCGCCCTCACCTTCGGCCATCAGGTCTTTATCTCTGGCTCCTCGCTGTCTGGCATCAGGGAGCACTCATGCTCCCAATTGATTCCATCAGAATGAATAGCTCCCATCTCCCCTCCCTCAAGGCCCTGCCATGGACTTTCCAAGATGGTAGCAGGCTAAGAAGAAGCCATGGGCCATGCATGGTCTGCCCCAACTTGGCCTTTTCCAACCCCAGATTCCTCTCTGCCCAAGACAGGCTCCAGGTAAGGAAGCGAAGCCTTACCCATGCAGTTCCCTCTGTCTGGTGTTCGCTCCTCCCTCCAGTCCTCCCCTGCTCAAGGACATCAAATTCATTCTTCATGGTGTAAATCAAAACAGAATGTCTTCTGCTGAACACCGGTTGTCACGCTTTGCTCTGCTCCCTAGGCAGTGTGACGCTCTTCCCCTGAGCACACTTCCTGCATTATATTGCACATACCCATTTATGGGATTAGCTCCCATGTGAGACTGTGAGTCCTGGCTTTCATCATTGATTCCCTGAAGCCTAACACATCCCCAACCCGGACCGCAGTTGATTCCTTGAAAGACAGGGAGGAAGAGGAAGGAGTTGAGAGCAGGGGCAAGAGAAGGAAAGGGCAGCCTCTCATTCCTTACTTGTTCTAACGTTGCCTAAGGGGCAATGTTGCGGCTGAGATTAAGAGAAGAAAGAACAGGGAACAGAGGGGTTTGGGTCTAGAAGGGGTTAAAATTTTTCGTGGGCCTGAAGGCTTCCCCCACATCATTTAGTGAGATGTCTCTTCCGGGGCTTGGGATACACAGAACAATGGGACTTCATAACACCTTAGCCTTGCTCACTTTGCTCCTGACTGGTCTGGAACTGGGGTGAATTTTTTCAATTCAATTCCATTTCTAGGATGAGGCAGATCAACCAAAGCCCAGTGACCAGAGTATAACAGGAGCCTTACAGGAATGGTGAGTTTGGAAAGACCAAAGGGCTACGTGGTCTCTGTTGATGTCACTTTCCAAAGCAGTGATCGCTGTTGTCACGAGCAACCTCAGGCCTGACGGGTCCTCACCCACGTATTACTGACATGGCCACTGGCTGTGTGCTGGGAGGATTCCCTCCACACAGTGATGACATTCAGTTAAGCCACAGTTTCCTTGACCCGGGAGGAAACCCGTGTGGTTTGGGGTTGGGGGTGTGGATGAGCAAGCGCAGATTTTTTCTCATTGCCCCGTGGCTTGAAATTGCAACCTCTCTTTTAATTTTCCATTATGCATCAAATACATCTGTGCCAGAAGTGGACAAATGTATTCCGTCTGGGAGGATGATCCCAGACAGCAATAAATTAGAGTCTGTGTACAGACATGCCAAAAATGTGGCCGCGTGGTAGGGTGTCCCTGGGACCAGTCACCTCCTCCACAGTCGGCTTGGTGGCTGTAGGCCTTGGCCTGATGCCTCTGTCAATAGATTTTGCTTTGTATTTGGAAACTGTCTTTCCATCAAGTCACCGCAGAGGCAAAATGGGAAGGGTTGCCTGTGTGGCTTTGCTGGGCATATCTGTCCCAGGCAGCCTCGGGGAGCTTCCAGGACAGTGCCTTCCCAAGGGCATCACTCTCTTTCCTGCACCAGAACAGCAATGACCTCAAAGCTGGTTTCCTCCCAAACTAGAACACGGCCCAAGAAAACCCTCTCCACTTTTTCTGGATTGAGCAGATAAACTACCATATAATGCATCGAGAAAACAACATTTTTAAATGTACAAGAGTAATTACATGCTTCCTGCAGACAATTTAAAAGATAGAGTGAAAAGAAAAAAGCCACCTGTAATCCTACCTTCAAAGATAAATACTGTGAATGTTTTAGCATGACTTCTTTCAATATTTTTCCATGCCATGCTACCCTTTTAAAAAGGCAAAACTCTTTTAAAGCTGGTTGAGTCCAGCTCCTTTAGCTGTCCCTCACATTATCCAATTAGTGCTTTCCTCTGAGGACTGGAAACTTTTACTTATTCCACATGAGAGAGTCCAGCTGGTTGAGCTCTAGCCCCTCTGACTCCTCACTGAAGTCACGCCGCTCTTCTGAAGAAGCTGGCCTGGAGGGGAGAGAAGAGAATGACTAAGGCCTTCTATAAGTCCAGCCAGAGAACCCCAAAGGGCAGCCCCAGGTCTTGACATGCTGCCCTGCCAATAGAGGGACCCTGTGTACAAAGGGCTCTGGTCTGCCCCTGACTTTGATACCATTTTTCCTTATTAAACCTCTACTTGTCTGACTTCATCCTGCCCTGTTGCCAGCATCTGCATCTGCTCTTCGGACAGGGACAGCCTCTAAGCTGTTCATCTGGTGACAGGCTAGGGACCCCCACACTGTTGGAGGTCAGGGACAGGGACAGCCTCTAAACTGTTCATCCGGTGACAGGCTAGGGAGCCCCACACTAACTAGATGGGTTGGCAGAACCAGGAGGCAGTCTTTATATCTGCTTACTTCCCCGTGTGACTTGAGGCCAGAAGGTGCCCAGCAAATGTCTGTTGCTTGATTGACGTGATGCAATTCGGGGTGGGTGCTTGTGGTGGGAGCCTGCCGGTAGGCAGTCCCCACAATCCTGCAATGGTAGAAAAGACCCAGCGTTGATGCGGAGCCTCACAAAAGCCCTGAGTCACCCAGAGGAAGCAGGCAATGACTCTACCAGCCACTGCCTGTACCAGCCACACAGCCTCACCATGAGCCACACAGCACACAGACCATGCTTTTTCAGAAAAGTTTTTTTTCCTTTCTCACTTTCCATAGAAACTCAAAATAGCAAAAAAAAACCCAAAATAAAAAATGGCCAAGTTCCCTCTCTGCCTGCAAAACCATCCCCAGGCAATGCAGTGACCATGGAGGCCCTGGGGAGAAAGTGTTCTAGATGTCACTGAAACAGCTTTCTAACGGGCACTGCACACTCCTGAGGTGTGGGCAGGTCCTGAAGGTTGTGTGTGTTTCCTTCTAATTTAGAAGACCGGGTTTCCACCAGGTCTGAGAGTTCATCTTGCTGTTGGCAACCCAGAGGCTGAAACACAGTCCCTCTCACAGTGATGCTGGTGAGGAGGTCTGGGGTCCCCAGCAAGGGACAACAGGGCAGGGGGCAGATGCCTTCCAGGGGGACTGTTATTGGAACATTCTTTTTGAAATGCCTCCCCGGGCAGTGCTGTCTATACCCAGAAACCACAGGGCAGCCCAGCAGAACGGGGACAACTCAGCTTGGAATCAGGAAACCCTAGTTCTGATAATCCCGTCAGGGACCTGGGGGGCTTTGAGCTCATTGTTTCTCCTCCCCCAGGAAACGTGAAGGGCAGACAAGCTGATTTCTAAAGGGATAGCCTTTTCCAGCCTCAGCACTCTGTGCCCGCAGCCCACTCCTGGGCTATGCGTACCCTGTCCCCTTCCATTTGCTGAAAACCAGTGTTGTTTCCCTTTCAGTTGGCAGGGTCGGCTGTCATTGGTTTTGGACTATGGTTTCGGTTTGGAGGCACCATGAAGGATTTCTCATCGGAAGACAAGTCCCCAGAGTATTTCTACATGGGTGAGTGATTTCAGCTTCCCTGAGCGTGACCTGGAGCTGCCGCAGAGGCTTAGAGCAGAACCTGCACCTGGACTTCCATGGGAGGGGAAGTGAGGAGGCAAAACTGAGTCCTGTAGACTCTATCTGGCCCAGGGGCTGGAGGGGCTCTGTGGTCAGGGCGGGCGAGGACCCTGCACCCCTAGCCTGCCCACTCCTCACATGGTTCATCGAAATCAAGAAAGACCAGTGTGGGAGGACGGACCCGCTGTGCTTCTTTCAGCCACCACTCATTTCCAAAGAAATTCGAAGACGCCTTTTTGCCCACTGAGCAAAGTGGATGCACCACAAAGTCAGTTACACATCCATCCATCTGGGCTGATGTGGTCCCTGCCGAGTGAGGGGTTTATTTGTGATCTTGTATTTTAAGCTGTGCATGAGGGAGACATAATTCCAAGTGAAGAGACATTTCAAGGTTCAGAGGTACTCACTTCCTCCCTAACTAGAGACTGCAAAGGGCAGGGCTCCCCTGGGGATGAGGCCACCTCCCTCCCAGCTGTAGGGAAGGGGTGAGGGGTGGGGGGTGGCCTGCAATTCTGAGACAATGTGGTAAATAGAGGCTGAGCATTTCCCTGGGTTTAGTCCCTCTGATCTACTTCTCGTCTTCTTCTGAGGGCTGTCCTCACTCTCCAGCCGAGTGCACCCAGGCTCGAGATTTCAAAAAGCCTGAGACCATTGTCACTACAGGTCATAGTCCTATGTGTCTGGCCATTCCAAGGTCTGCGCCAGCCACAGAGTACATAGAGTATGGGGAGAAGCAGGGTCCTGTGCAGGTCGTTTGCTCCCGGTTCCAGAAAAGCAGCGTCTGCTTCCTGGGAGGGAAGGAGCCCCCAGGCTCACTCCGAGCCTCGTAAAGTCCTGCTCACAGCTCTGCTGCTTCCTCTTCCCAGCAGCCTTCCCAAACTGGAGCCTCCTGAAAAGAGCAGCCATAGCAGCGAGGATACTTCTAGAAGAGAGTAACCACAAACCTACTATAAGACAGTGCACATTTCCTCAAATCTTAGATGCAGTCTTTGGTAAAACACACAGTTATCTTAAGTTCCACTAAGAAAAGAAGAAATGCTGCCAATTCAACCATGACATACCATAAAATATGCATTCTAATTTTAGGGACATTAAAATATGAATATGTCCAATGTATATTGAAATTGGTGAAACACACTGAAAGAAGCGTGGAGATGGGGACTCTCCAGAGTTAGTTCAGAGTTCAACAAAGTCATCAAGGATCCAGGTTTTTTCCATCTTTCCCCTGGCCATCCTCGAGATGACCTCAAATGTGTCCCCTCAGATTTAAAAGATAGTTGTGGTGGCTCCAAGTATCATATCCTCATACAGCAACGTCCAAAAGAGGAGGAAAAAAAGGAAGTTTCACCTCACATGACCCTTTTTAGGAATGAATACAACCTTTGTCAGAAGACCCCCAGCAGACCTCTCCTTGTAGCCTTGGCCAGAACTGTACTGTGTGCTCATGCCCGAACAAGTCCTGGCCAAGAGGAGACCTCCTGTGACTGCCCCTGTGATTAATGGAGAGTCACCCTGGGCTTGGGAAGGGGCCCAGGCTCCCCAGAGGGCCCCTCACGCTTGGACAAAATCAGAGTTTTGTTACAAGAAGAAGCAGAGGAATCTGCCATCAGACTTAACACTGAAATGCTCTTTTCCACCCACATGGTTTCCAGGTTACACACACCCCTCTGTCCAAAGCTAACACACACACTTAACATATTTCTCCTTGAGGAACTCCTGGCTCTGCGAGCCTCCTCAGAATCGTTCCCCATCCCAGAGCAGGCCCCAGTGCCCCAGGACAAAGCTCCTCATGTCCTGGTCCTGCACCACCTCCAGGGGACACGCAGGAACAGTCAGGGGAAGGTAGCAGAAGGAATGCATCTCCCCTCGTGTTGCTCATGGTCCCAGGGCAGCTTATTTCATAACTGTTCCCTGTGATTTCGAACTCCACTCAGCACTGTCACATCTCAGTGCCCACTGGATTACCCACAGCAAAGGTTTGATCCCGCCATAATGGGATTCTTGCCTCTACAGACACATGCAATAATAAAGAGCAGACAGTAATCACAAGCGTATGTTAAGTGCTCATGGGTGGTACGAACAGAATCACTGAATTAAGAAGTGAGAAGGGGCGCCTGGCTGGCTCTGTGGGTAGAGCATGCAACTCTTGATCTCGGAGTGGTGAGTTCAAGCCCCACATTGGGTGTGGAGCCTACTTAAAAAAAAAAAAAAAAGATTCTGTGTGGGAACAGGGATGGTATGTGCCTGTGACTTGAGCAGTCACATTAAAAAAGCATCACAGATTGAGGAGAAGCTCCTAACAACCACCTGGCTGGCTCAGTCAGGACAGTATACTACTCTTGATCTCAGGGTCATGAGTTTGAGCTCCACGTTAGGCCAAGAGCTTCCATTAAAGAAGAAGAAGGAGAAGGAGAGGAAGGGGAATGAGAAGGAGAAGAAGAAAACACTGGGGGCCAGCAGGAGCCAGCGGGACAGGCCTCAAGGTGGAGGGGTGCTTGAATGGGGCCTCAGAAGACAGTGGGTTTCAGATAGACTGAGTTAGGGAGACCCTTAGTCAGGACTCTGAGTTAGCACTGGCCAGTGTAAGGCAGGCAGCTGCCCATCATTTCTCTAGCCAGAGGAAGAGATGGCTCGTCGTTCAGGATACTCTTTGAGGGGGGTCTTCCTAACCTAGCTCCTTCAACCATATATAACTGATCCTCAGAGTGAACATTATTTTCTCTCTCTACTCTGAATGCAGTAGTTACCTGATGTCCTAACACGATGTCAGTCCCAATAAAACGGTGAAAATCTTTTGCTCCTGAAATTCAGGCATATAGAGGTTCAGGGTATCAGCCTTCCGTCTGTCTTCTCTTCACATGCTGTTGGCTCTGCGCCGGAACCCTATTTATCTCCTCTTCCTCAGGTAGGACTCCCAAGACTTTCCCTCAGAAGCTGCTTTTGTGCCCTCAGGTGGGTGGGGAGGAGTCTGCCCTTCTTTAGAACCAAAAGGTGGGAAAATATCCACCCGTTCACTTACAGGCAGACATGCTCCTTCAAGTTGTTTGGCAATAACTAACTGCCAAAAACCCAGCCACCTACCCCCCTCACCACCAAGGTTGAGGTTGAAAGATGTAAATCTCTATAAATGTAATTCCTGAGCTTGAACTGGGAATTTTGGGCCGCAGTAAAGAAAAACCGTTTTTATAAGACCGGAAGACCTGGGTTATATGAAAAACACGTACGAAAGGCTGTCTCCCTTTCAGTGAGGATAAACGTCTGGCTATCTAAAAATCTCTTCATGGTGTTTTTAATTTGGGGATTTCATCAGGTATTTGGGTTTCTGCAAACATAGTTATGCCTTGAAGCAGGGGCTCCTCTATTCTTTCCCTCTTTTTTTATAGGCTCTTCCATTTAGGAAAAAATATAATCTATTCATGGATACATCAGCCAGCATCCATAGTCCTGGGCTCTGGAGTCACACAAAAGAGGATGAGAACGCCATCCTCGCTCCCATGTATCTTTGCGGTCTATTTGAAAAGACTCACAGAGCTAACGATTTAAATTCTAATGGAAACGAGCATGTAACTAAATGCCAGCTAAGTGGTATTTGCCGTGCGTGCATCAGGGGTCATTCTAAACCAGCGAGGCAAGCATCCGATCTAGGTTTGAAAGACCAGGCTGTCATCAATGAGCGGAAGACAAACAGGGACAGCGGAGGTTGTTGCGCAAAGACTGCGCCGGCGCATCCACGGGACAGTGATCAGCAAGCCCAGGCTGGGCAGAGGACTCTGGTTGGAGTGGAACAGATTGAGGCAAGGTGGGAGGTAGGATTAGAGGTGCCGGGGAGGGGGGAGGGGGGAGGGGACAAACACACAGGGCCCTGAATGTCATTTGGTAAAGCAACAGAGGGATAATTCAGGGTTTGGGGGGAGGTATGATCGGCGCTGCATTTTAAAGAGATTATGCTGGCAGCAGCGGAATGAGAGTGGAGACAGAAAAGAACACGCTGGGTGACTGATCCCGTCAGACAGAAGGGCATCAGCGTGGTGGTTGTCAACAGTAGGAACTGTGAAGAAAGAGACGGGAAGACAAGCAATGTTATTAAACGTTATTATTAAACAGTATTAAAGTCAGGGACAGAAGGAATCAAAACGATCAAAGATATCAGTGATAGAAGAGTCAAGCCTAGCAGGAATAATTCATGATTCTCAGTGGGAACCGGAGTTGCGGAAGGAAGGGCTCCTGCTCAGGCGGGGGCTGTGGACCTGAGGTGCAGTGTGGGGGGCAGCCTCTGTCCGCCTTGGCCAACAAAGTGCTGATAGCAGTTTCACACGTGTCGATTTGGGTCCAACGTAAGAAAACCTTTTTCATGTTTTTATAAGCCCAAGAAACTGAGCGGACTCCCACAATAAGAGTGAACTTTCCCCTACATTGGTATTTACTTAACCACTAACGTGGCAAAAATCAGAATGGAGTGTTTGTCAATTCCGGAGGTTCCAGGGTTGAGTAGGAGGGGAACTAGTTCCATGCAGACATTCCAGATCCTATTTACTAATCTTAACTGAAGCAATATGAACGGCCCAAGATGCAAGAAATGTCATATCTTGATGGCCATATCTGTCAGGACTCTTTTCATTGCAAGTCACAGAAACTTGACACAGGCTGTCTTGAGCAAAACAGAAATTTTTTTTTTTAAGTTTTTTTTTTTTTTAAAGATTTTATTTATTTACTTGAGAGAGAGAGAATGAGAGAGAGAGAGCACATGAGGGGGGGGGTCAGAGGGAGAAGCAGACTCCCTGCTGAGCAGGGAGCCCGATGTGGGACTCGATCCCGGGACTCCAGGATCATGACCTGAGCCGAAGGCAGTCGCTTAACCAACTGAGCCACCGAGGCGCCCCCAGAAATTTCTTGACTCACAAAACCGAAAAGTCCAGGATTCGTGCTCATCTCGGGGGTGC